CAACAGCTGATATAGTGTGTCCATGCTTGACTGCTTCAAGGCTCAAAGAGCAAGAGGATAAGACTCTGCGCATAAAAGACACTAGCGGTCTGCACCTCTACCGTGTACGCCCTAGTCACTCTTTCAGTGGTAGCGGAGCAGTGATCCTGGAAGACCCAGGTGAGCTCCTTTCCTAGGCATAGAATTGCTTGTGGGCAAACGGCCATGGATTGGATTGACGACTGGGAAGAGCCTGATGCGGATGTGGCTTATGAGCCAGCAGCCTACGTGAATAGGCATGTGAGAAGAGAACCAGCAGCAATAGCAATGACAACACAGGTCACTACAAAGGTGCCCCCATCTTATGATGGAAAGACTTCATGGTTTTCCTATGAGGATGCCATAGACGATTGGTGTGATATCACCGAGCTGGAAGATGAGAAAAGAGGACCAGCATTGAGAAACAGATTAGAAGGAGAAGCAGCTGTATACAAGCGTGTTTTAGACAGAGATGCATTGAAGGCAAATGATCCACCAGGAGCCGGCGTAGAATATTTCAAACGAGTACTACGACCATATTTCGTGAAAGGATCAACCAATGTATTCCTGTATAGGTTCATGCAATTCGTGCGCTTCAATCGAGGATCAGCTGACATGATGAAATGGATGACAAGATTCCAGATTTTACTCCAAAGGCTTATGAGCAGTTGGATGGACATGTTAGAACCAGTCACTCAAGCACATCCACAAGTCCTAGCTCAGATGCAGGCAGATGCAGCGTTGACTGGAACAGCACCAACGGCAGAAAGGATTCAGGAAATCATGCAGACCATCAATGGCAATATGAGGGCTTTTCATCAGAACGAATTTCCTCTAGGAGAAAATCTCATTGCCTTACTCATGCTGTCACTTGCAGATTTGTCTCAGGACCAGCGAAACACTTTGACTTCTTTGATGACTCATCGTGGCAGGGTCCTGCAGCAATACACCACAACAGAGTTGAGGACAGTGTTCATCGAGATGTTCTGCACGACAAAGACTTCAGTAGACAATCCTTTGATGCAGCCGACAGGTGCTGGAGGTAGAAGATCATTTTTCGTACTAGAAGAAGGAGAACTCGATGGTACATTTGGCTATTGGGCCGAAGATGAAGAAGATGGAACAGAAGGATTTTAGATGCCCTGGACGATGTCTTTTGGGTATATGATGATCAAAACTTCTCGTGGTTCCAAAGGAGATTCCAAGGAAGAAGAGCCAGGAAAGGCAAAGGAAAAGGAAGAAGAAAAGGAAAAGGCAAAGGAAGATCAGGCCGCAGATTCTTCAGACCTCGTGGAAAAGGAAAAGGAAAGAGACGAGGTAAGGGCCATTTTGCTGATGAGCAACAGACAACATATCCAGAAGAGTACTTTGAAGAGAATCCTTATGAGGACACTTGGGAGTCAAACCAAGGAGCATATGATGCTATTCTTGCCGAAGATATGAATGACTATCTTCAAGGAGAATATGATGATGCCAATGACTTTTGGCAACAGCTTGAAGAAGCGTGGTTTTCCCACAAAGGAAAAGGAAAAGGCAAGAGAAAAGGCAAGAAAGGAAAAGGAAAAGATAAAGGAGATGGCAAACAAGATGCAAACTATGCAAATCAACAACAGCCACGTTCTTTACCTGCACCTTCAAGATCTTCACAAGCATCAGGAGGTCAACAAGGTTTCTTTGCACATTGTGTGACAGCAGCAGCTGAAGTCCATGACAGTGAGGTGGACTTGCTGTCAGGCATGATGACCTCATGTCAAGATGAAGCTGACTGCGCGGTCAACAATGGTGAGACGATCTTCAATGGCATGGGTGCCCCTGTGAGGTACTCTTTGTCAAAGGAGATGCTCACAAAGGCTCCTGATGGCTTTGCGCTTATGAGCGCTGAGGAAGAAGTGAAGGAGATGCAGGCCATTTCATTTTTGACTGAGAATCGCTTCCCGCCGACTATTGCAATCCTGGACATTGGATGCACTAGAGCTATGGGATCAAGGCGAGCAGTCGACCATTTTTGCAACTATGTCGACAATCACCCAGATTGTGGATTGTGGTACTCTTTTGAGGCTACCAAGAGCAAGTTTTACTTTGCCAATTCCCAGAAGGCTACTTGCTCTCAGAAACTGGTGATTTACATGTATGATCGTGCATGGACGATCCACCATACAGAGTTCGACATAGTGGAAGAAGGAGAAGTCCCTTTGCTTATGAGCTTGCCACAGATGAGGAACTTAGGCTTTGAACTCAGGCTGACACCTCAACATGCTTATCTGACATCGGTGCCTCTTGGTATCAAATATTTGGAGTTGAAGGTTGCAGCCAGTACTCATCTTGTCTTGGACTTCCAAGATATTGCATGGTATCTGTCTGACGTGAATTTGCAGACTCGGCGCGAGAAGAGTTTTTACTCTCACTTCACTCACTATGAGTATGGTCATATTTCTGTTGACCTCAATAGTGATGAAGATGTAGCTGAACATGCATATCCTGTGGTTGACTACTGGGAAGTAGATGTTCACAAGAGAGAACTGATACGTCACCACAAGGATTATAGAAAGATTCTTTTCCCAGCAACTAAGTCCTGTCCTGTAGACACTGACCTACTGGAAGACTTGCGATTGACAATCATCAAGAAGAAGAAAGGTGGAGAAGAGATCAAGAAGCAAGATGATTGGCGCAAGGCAAAATGGAAGGACCTACAAATTGGCTATGAATGGCGTGGTAGAACAATTTTTAAGTTCAAGCCAGATGCCAAAATTCCAGATCTAAAGATCAGGAAGGCTGGCATTGAGCACCGTGGCATTGGTGATCCCGATGCAGTGGTGCGCTCCTCCTCAGAGAAGGTTCCCATTGCAAATGACAGGGAACCAGGCTTCTCGTCAGAGAAGGAAGGTGCACCAGCCAGTGCCGCGGAAAAGCCCGTGCCGCCAAAGTTTCGGTATACTTCCAAGGGTTTTGATCCATTTTGGAAGGGACACAAGTCGAAACCATCTGAGCCTCAGAATGATTTAAAGGGTGATGATCTTGAGGAGTATGTTCCCTCAGAACCACCTGAGAGGCCAGAAGGTGAACTTGTAGAAATTCCTAAAGCATCAAAAGGACCATCAAGTGATAAACATGAACCACTTGAACCAGGTGATGGCGCTCTTGAGCCTAGGCGGATTTCAATCCCATTACCTGGTAGTGAAGTTGTTGCAATGACACCGGCATATAGGAAGATGTTACAGAGACTGGAGGACAAGGTAGAGCTTTATAAGCTTCATGTGAAGCACTACCATATGAGTCCTACTCAGTTTCGTAGACGTGTTTCTATGTTGAAGCTTCCTGACTCTGTTTTAGAGAAGTATGAATCAGTTGTCAGGAACTGCCGTGTTTGTAACACTTCAGTGGCACCTCCGCCGCGAGCCAGAGTCTCCGGTATTAGAGCTTCATGTTTTGGTGATGTTGTTTTTGCTGATCATTGTGAGGTTGAACTTCACAAGAACAAGTATATCATTCTACTTGTTCTTGATGGTGCCACAAATCTTCTCTGGGCTACGGCACAGAAAGACCTCATAGATCAAACCACCATCCAAGCATTGAGGCAATGGTCTGATGAGAACAACTGTGTTCCAAAGGCCATCGTAGGAGACGAAGCCTTTTTCACCGATGCTTTTGTTGAATACTACAGGTTCCATGGTATACAACAATGTCCTTGTGGGCCAAGAACTCCTTGGCCGAACCGAGCAGAGACAGCTGTACGTTTGTTCAAACGTATGTGGCATGTTATGAAGGTAGATCTGGATGACCCACGTTTTCGTGGTGTTACGGTCAGAGAAGTGGTCAAGAAAGTAGTGTGGGCAAGAAATTGTCAGTTGACTATCAGTGGATATTCACCAATAGAGATAGCAACTGGAAGACGTCCACCAGATCTTTTTGACCTTGAGACCGCAAGCCCTGAGCAATTGTCAGCTAATGCCGCCGCACAAGATCGTACAAATTTGGAACTACAACGTGTGGCTTTGAGAGCTCATCAA